TATTACAAACGTGGAAATATTATGTATTATACGTTGAGAGTATGCAACATGATTTGCATATAGGTACAATATATTGCAAAAAAGACAGCATTCATGTTTCAAATATTTTGTTTTTCATTTCCATGCCATAATTATTAATTTTTTTTTGTATACGTACATTTCGTTAGTAATATGCAAGCTCATTATTTGTGAAATATGAAAAAATTTAAATGGAAAAATTAAAACGTAAAAAATTGAATTGACATTTTATGAATGCACAACTTTTCTAATTTAATCCAGTCGTATATGAAAAAAAAGTTTTATAATTTTATTAATATTTCCTATAGTATTTTCTTTTTAACAAATTCTACATTCCCTTTTTGTCGTTAATGTAAATCACGCATTATATGACAGACATTATCAAATTTCATTTTCTTGTGTAAAAAATTTTTACTTGCATTGTTCTCTCTTGCTAATAACTTAATCGTTGTTTTCATCACATGCTCATGAAATTACTTTATCATAATTAGCACCACAAATATATCGCACACGAATCTTCTAAGAAAGTAAGTATACATTGAATCAGATATAAAAAGTAACAAGAACGATATTTAATTAAGTCGATTCACACAACATTGCTGAAGTGACGCGATACTCATTCAAATCAAACGACTTGCGAGATAATTTCGTTCACAATGATGAAAGTAACACAAACATAATTATTGTGCCTAATGAGATTTCACAGTTATCGAGTACATCGATGTAAATAATAAACTCAAACCCTTTTGTTTTATCTTGAAATCATTCCCTTCATTCTGATTATATATTGACAATATAACAACGAAAAGGATTACTAAATTTTAAAATACATAATATAATATGGCTCAAGTAATAAAATTAAAAAAAAAATGTTAAATAGAGTTACGAGCCAAATACAGTGGTTACAGTGATTCTGAATAGAATTAAGTAGAAAAAAGGCCCCTATTAGATATCGACTTCATTTTGAGTAAATGCTAAAAGTCTACAGGCAGAATTTAAAAAAATAATAAGTCATTTTAAAGAGAATTTAATAAGTTTTAAGATAACTTTATATAAAATTTAATTCAAATTTCATTTTTTTTTAAATTAAAGAAATGTAAAAAGTGAATAAACCGTAAAGTCAAAAAATTGTGCTCCTAATATAAGATGCCTCGAAAAATCGATAATAAAACGCAAAGTATATCAGTATTGCAATTAGAAAACTTTATTTAATATTTCTAAAATACAAACAAACACAGCCAGCGTGTGCGAAAAGTAAGCATGCGATAGATTGTACCCAGAACTCGTCTCCAAGTAGTTGGAATCAAGCATTGCAGAAATGAGCACTTTTTTATTATTGTATAATATTTATACTTTAGCAACGATTTTCATTATAACATAGGAGCATGGGTTATTTCATATTAAAAATACCTTGACTATCTCATATTACGATTTCAACGCCTTATGGTTTTATGATCATCAAATCTAACTTCTATAATTAAAAAATTTAACATATCCCGTATTTTTCTATTAATACGATCTTACTTTATCACTACATGAAGAATTTGTTGCTAAATATTTATTTTTGTATTAAATAATAAGCAAAGTTTAAAGGTTCATCTCAATGAAACTTGAAGGCATCCAAATTCTAAAATCTTGTTTTACAATGACTACAGGCATCTAACAATGAATTTTCTATTAAATAGTTTTCAATCCAAGAACAATAAATTCATGGTGGAAACAACAGATAGTGTTTTTACTAGTTTAATAGAAACAGCGCTATCTCATACGTTATTACGCGCCTATCTAATAATAGGAGGCCTTCCTCACATTAAAAAAATGGAATATTCTTTTAGATAGTGATACTTATAAGAGTAAAGTAGGATTCTGTCAGGAATATGACTAATGATCTACGCAGTATTTTTATTAGATGGAAAAACAAAAGTTATATAGAGAATTTGACATATCGAAGGTTACTTGATATGTTTACTGATGGTATCCCCCAGAGCTAGCTAAATAAAATTTACCTAAAAGGTTTATAAGGTTGAATATCCGCTAAAAATTATTGTTTTAAGCATTAATTGCCCATTATATTATTTATCTCTCTTTTTACATTGAATCATTAATGATAGTATTCCTGAGTCAGGTGAAAAACAGCTTCCATTTGGTGGAAATTAAATAAGACTTGTTTTGACCTATACGTTGGCTTCCTTAGATGTAATATCTCTCTTTACTAATGTTTCCATAGAATTGGCATCTGAGAGCATTATTAAGAGATGGGATCACATATCACGCAATATCATTATACCGTTGGAAGAATTCTTAATAGTTTTACACTTCGTTCTGAATTTCACTTTTTCCTCTTTTAATAATAATTATTATAAGCAAATTTATGAGACCCCTGTGAGATCATTCTTATCTCTTATTATAACGGAAATAGTTTTACAGAACTTCTTTTCTATTTTCGATACGTTAACGATATATTTTGGCAGCTCCTTCTGACACCTTGACATTCAAAATATTTTTAATTCATTATATGAAAGACTACAATTAATCATGGAAATTTAATGTTAGAATGAATTTTTTAGACACGATGAAAACGGAAATTATTGATGAAAACGGAATTATTTTTGACAGATACCATAAGCGAACCTTTTCAGGCAAATTTCTTAATTTTTATTCTCACCCTATCTGTTATAAGAGGGGTGTTATTATGAATTCTGTCTCGACAGAATTTTATTACTATCTCATTGTCGCTTTCAACAAAACAATTTTACTGAAATTATTCATATTTTTTTAAACAATGGTTTCTCTACAATTTATTTTTTTCATTCTATACAAAATAGATTAAATTATCATACTCACAGGAATAATACTGTAGATAAAAATACCTAAACGGAATAATACTGTAGATAAAAATGCCTGGCTTTTCACCAAAAAATAAAAACACAAATAAATTCTTTACAGTTCCTTATGTTAGATCGATCTCGGAAAGTTTTATGCCTGTTGCGCTTAAACTAAATTACAAAATTAGCTTATTCCCGAACATGTTGAAACATTGCATAAAAAGAGACAAAGATCAATTGGATACACTTTCTCATAAAAATGTAGTTTATAAGATTTCATGCGACGATTGTGACGCTAGCTATGTTGGTCAGACGAAGAGGAAGTTAAAAACGAAATTACAGAAGTATATGTCTGATATAAAAAAGAACAGAATCTCCATCTGTCATTACTGATCAATATATTAATTGCAACCACAATTTAATTGAAATGACGTTAGAATTTTAGATTGTAAACTTTCTTATAATAAATGTTTGGTATCAAAAATAGTTTACATAAAGAAGCAAAGACAACTTGAATAGGCAAAATGATCACTTCATGAATCCTATTTACATATTATACAATCTTTTTCCCCTTCCTGATCATCTATTTTTTCCTCTTCTTAGTTTACCCTTTCCTTAATAACGACTTGTGTTTTCTGCTCTTTGTTATAATATCATTACAATATAGAAAAATTAATTGTATTGAGACGTTTCTTATCGCAATTTTGCTTCGTATTCTAATAATCTTTTAAACTCTGATTGATTGTAATTATATTGCGTCGTTACGTGCTACGTCTTTACTAAGATAACTTGTATTAACATTTCCTTTTACTCCAAATCGCATTATATTTTTACAATTACTTAAATTAATTTATACATTGATTATATTTGTTTTACTTATTGTGCTCTTATAGTTTCTACTATTTCTCCGCATTTTAACAGATTTTGTATCTCTATTATTTTACGTATATTAACAGATTTAATATTTCACCGTTTTTATCTACTCTCTCTATGACATTCTACAATAATTTTATAAAATCTAATTGTAATGGTAACTTTTGCGGTTAATCGCATGTATTTGTCATAGCATTTCATTTTTTAACCAAAAGCAATCATATGGACTCAAGACATATGCCATTGTTTTATTACATCAAATATAAAATTGTATTTTCCGTTTACTGTGTTTCTATAGTTAACCGTCAATAATTTTATTATGTTTATATCTATAATTGATTACATGTTTAACATTGATAATGATCCAATCGTGGTTCGAAACGTTTGTCTTTTAAACCTTTTCACTTGTAATTTTATGTTAATATATATCTTTAATACTAAATTCATTGTATTTGGCTTATAGCCCTTTTCAACATTATTTTTTTCA